TTTACGGTGCACTGTACAGCCTTTCCTGAAGCAATCACATTTATGGCCTTGCTGTTGTATTTCTGGGGCTGCTGTGGCTGTAAAAGATGAATAGCCCTGTAATATGGTTCACTGATTCTGTTTAAATTGAAGTAGGCTCCCTTTATTGTTTTGTGTCTAAAATTGTGTGCCACCAATTCAGGAAATATTTCCTGTTTGGGAAATAATCAACCCATAGCTGATTTATTTTAAAATAAATCACTTTTAACTATCTCTAAAACTATTCCTTTCTGGCTTCTGACTGCTCTCTCCATTTAATTTTCGTGGAAATTCTAAGATACTAATTAATGTAGCCAAGCAGTTCTTAAAAAAAACAAACAAAAAAAACCAAACCACAAAAAACCACCCCAAAACCACAACAAAAACCCTGAACAACTGAACTTGCTTATGAATCCTTGTTCCTTTACCTAGATAGTTACCAAAATGGGTGTTTTTCTTAAAATAATTTGTATCTTTACCTAAAACAAAAACCAATTTAAAAACAAAACAAACAAAACCCAATTTAAAAATAAAAACCATTTGTATCTTTACTTAAAAATAAAAACAATTTGTATCTTTACTACAGAAAGAAGTAATTCATTAAATACAATTTACACAATTCTGAATTTCTTGGAAAGGGGAAATCTGTCTCTGCTTTCTTCTAATTTCTCTCTTGCTGCCTATCAGAACATTGGTGTGGTTTGGAGAAAACAGCATGTTTGAATGTTTTTGCGTATAAAACAGTTCTTCATACATTTGGGGAAATAGTGATATTAACAGGACAATAGTTAATTTACTGCTTGATAGGTCTTTTGACTGTTACCATCTCTGCCTACTCAGTTAAGGTGGAGGGGGGGAAGTTTTAGGACTCTCTCTTAAGTACGGTGTTTGGCTTTGTTTTTAAGCTGAGTATCATAAGCTGATCTCTGTTATGGAGTAATACTTAGTATTACTCTTCCCTTCCTTCTCGCTGCTCGTGCTTATTCACATTAAAGACAAGTCTTGTAATTTGTAATATAATTAGCATAGAAGGAGCAGTATGTTGCTGTATTAACAGTGCAACTGAAATTTGGAATGGCCTTTTCATGTTGCTGAGACTGGAAGAAGCGGAGGCTCTGCCAACATTTTAGGTATGCTACAAATGCATCAGATCTGAATTGATGACACTGTCTTGTATTGTCCTACTTCAGTAGGACAATATATTGTTGGTAGGACTTTTTTTTTGCAGAGGATTGCTTGTTTTGGTGCAGTTTTTTGGCTTATTTCCCCCCCCACCTCCTTCTATTTAGAAACAGACATAGAAACTTAATCTTGCAGTAGGTGACCTTTGTGGCCGTGACCTAGGGACTGAGATGGGAGCAGGCTTGAGCTTAACAATAAATGCTTGGTTGTGGTTACAAGCACAGCAAGCTGGATGCTGTGCTTCAGGCTCCCATTAGCCCGCCCAACACAAATCCCTCTCACTGTATGTTCCAGCTTAATTCTCTGGGAGAGGAGTCCTTCTGCGTGGTAGAGCTGATGTACAGCCTGGTGGGTGCTCCTGCCAGCGGGTATGCGAGACTTGACCATGGGAGGAGGTCAACCTCTGCCAACTTAGGGTTTCTGTTTTATAGTCTTTGTATCCAGAAAGGAGTTTCTGGAGGGTTCCTATTTAATTTTGAAGCTAGCTGATTCCTCCAATTTGCTTCTGGTGACTAGCTCCCTTCCACACTGAGAGCAGAGGGATTGTGCATTTGTGCTTTCTCCTGTGTGTATTTAAGGTAACTTTAAAATAACAGGGCTGCAATGACAGAGATCAGTCCATCACTGTCTACTTCCTCCCTTTTGCCCAAACCCATTAACTCTCTTGCTCTCAGATTTTAAATCTAGGTTGTTTTCATCATTTTGTTTACTAAGAAACAAATAGGAGGTTTTATCAATGGCTTTGTAGTGTTTACCCAAAAGACTTCCCCTGCCATATCTGATGTAATCTGCATATTTCTGAAACGTGATTATGGCTCTTGTCTCTCTTCATTCTAAATTCTGCAGTGATACTTTCCACCACATTTTGGTAGGTGGTAAGACACAACTGAAAAACTTAAATGTAGTTTCTCCTTGGTTTGAACGGCTGGATGACTCTGCCACTGGATGCTGTTACCTTGCCTGAGGAGTGCCTGGATGACAGGACTGAGCTGTGGCATTTTACCAAGCTTTTGCTTCTGGTGTTCACTATTTTGGAGGACTAATAACAGATTTAACTTGCTTCTGAACTTCTGTTCATATGGTCACCATTTTCCTTTCAGCTGCTCTGCTTGATTGAGGCCCCAAATCCCTGCTGTATGTTTTTAAAGTATATCAGATTCATATGACTTAACTTGATACCCTGTCTTGGTTTTCATTCTCTCTCAACTTCTCAGTTGTTTAAGTGGAGTCATTCAGCAACATGTAATAAACATTCCCTGTAATTTCAACAGCAAAATTACAGAACTACACGAGCAAGTGAACATTGTATACAGATTTAGACAACCGCAGCGTAAGGCCAAGGAAGTTGAGGAAGATAGTGCATTTGAATAATGCATTTCAGAGCTGAAGCAGCTTTTTACATCTCTAAAAAAGACTGAGGATCTGAGATACTGCTTGAGGGTTTAGTATTTGAACAGAAGCAAAAGGTAACAATCTGTTCCAGTTTCCCTA